AGTAGTATTTATTAGCTTATAAATACATTTTAAAATATTAAAAGATACTATTATATATGCAATCATGTTCTTGTGAGATATTATCATATTATTAACCAAATCATGTTCTTGCTCTTCCTACAAATGTTGTTTTCCTCTTTTTAATTTTGGAGAGCATGATGACAGAGGTTCTAGGCTTTTAGCATATGTATAAACAATATTTACATATGTCTATATCATTAACAGAAAATCTTGGTAATCTGGACTTTTGAAATGTAGACAATAAAGCATTTTTAGAGTAAAAGATCAAGGAGTAAAAAAATTTTAATCTTAGTTACTAAACAAATTTACCAATCAAGTAAAAAGAAGATATCTGTAGTTCTTTTGTTACTATTTAAATAGAGTAAAGTACACACAGATTTAAAATGTGATGGGCATTTAAATGGAGTAAGTTGGAGTTTAACTAACATTTTCACTTCAAAAAAAACAAAGAGAAAAAATAAAATGGATTACCTTCATTTAAATAGTAACTAAGGTAAAACAAAAAAAAAATTTGTTCACTTGATTGGTAGTTTTTTAGCTGAAAGTTGAGTAAACTAGAAAATAGAATAAACTTTTTTTGTTCTTTTTTTTGTGCAAAGAGTCAATTTTTATTTTAAAAATACAATACAGTCACACCTTTATTTTTTCTTACATGAAAGTAAGAGGGAGTTATTCAATAAAGGATTTAAAGTCAGTTTTTAATATTTTGCAATCAATTAAACTTTAAAATTTTAAGATAATTTTAGTTGGTGAATTTTTTTTTTTTGTCGACAGTTGACAAATTTTAAAATCTATGTAGTATGCTTTGAATTTTGATTTTACTTATTTGTTCATGAAACTCCACAACTAATGATTTGAAATCGGTATTAAATAGAAAGAATTTTAAAATCTTTTCAAATTGAATAACACTAGATTTTAAAAACAGAATTAAAATGGTTGATTGAATAATATCAGTTTTTAAATAAGAATTATAAATACCATATTCAAGAACAATAGATTTTAAAATAGAATAAAAGAATCAATCGAATAATAGTGAATTGTTTTTAGATTTAAATTCTATTAAAATACATGATTGGATAACACCACCTAAAACATATTTACTCCATTTTTACCTCTTTCCCACTTTTTTCTCCTTTTCCACCTATTTATTTTTCTTTTATTTACTCTAAATAACTAATTTCACTCTTAATCAGTAGCCACTACATATATTTTCTGCAGACTATATATAATATTAATATGTTACAAATTATAAAATCGGGGTTTATCTATACCTAAATGACACTCCAAAATTAATATGTTTTTAACAAGGGGGGTTGTAAGTACAACCGCAGTTAGATTTTCCGGGAACTTTAGGATCGTCAAAACATTTCCCAACTCCGTTCATCTGACTCAAGCAGTGTAATCGACAATCGCTAATCTGACAAACATTGGCTGTATCAATCGTCTTCTGACATCGCTTTTGTCCCATACTATTTTCTTCTACTATTGAAAATGCTACACAAACAAAAAATGTATGATCATAAATATAATCGTGGTGGGTAAAGTCGTATATAATTCTATAATGTATGTATCCATACCATTTGAATATATTATTATCATAGTGATATTTATTATTCTACTTTCTTAGATATCTGATCTACAATGAAACCCTATCTTCATTTTCATAGGTTTAAAGGCATATCTGAAGACAAAAATACTGTAATTTACTTTAGTCACTACAAAAGTAATTTTGTTTAGACTCGATAGCCCAATATAATATCATATTTAGAACGATGATTTTTCTAGATATTATTATTTTTAGTTCTATCATCTTGAAATCATTTCACAAAGGATGCTACATTTTTGTATATATTTGTTTACTAAAGATATAAGGAAAAGTGAGAAACTCAACATATACTATTCCATTAGGTTAAATATGTAATCCCACTATCATGGATAAAATGTGATTTGAAGAACATACTATTTTATCATTAAACTAATTTTTACAATGAGTGATTTCAGGTTTAGTGAATTCGAAATCAAAACTCAAAAAAAAATTACCATAAAGATTGGTTGTAAGGAAACACAAGAAAACACATGAAACAGTCAACAAAGTAGCAGAGTTCATCACTACTTTGAGTGATTTTCTTATTATGTTTGGATTACTAAATTTGAGTTTATATAAAAAATGTATATAATGACAAAAAACGTTTATGTGTTTACGTGTAGAAAATCAACAAAACAATTAATGCATGTAGTATCAACTATCAAGTATGTATACATAAAGTTATAAACACATAAAATGTGTGTGTTCAGTAATCACAAAACATATATTAAAGTGGTCTGTTTGTGTGTTGCGTGTAGGAAAAAAAAATGAGTGAGTCGAGGAAGGTCGAGACTGTTTTTTTTTTTTTTGATAAAGGGCTTAGGAAAGTCGAGACTGTTGCATCGGTTTGGTATTTGCTTGCCTCTAACTTTCCTTGACGACAGAGACGAGGCACGTGACAGTTGACACTGATGATGTCCCCACACCAGAGCAAAGATCTCTAGACTCTTGACAGGCCTTGCCCAACGAAATGGAGGTCTTCCGGCTAGTCAATAAATTAATCTTTGTTAATCTAACGAATAGTAAATGCGTTAAATTCTGTTATGGTATGAAATTCACTGTGAAATGTAAGAAGAATGCAAGTTCGGACAGTCAGATGTGTTAAGACGTATAATGTTTTTGACGCTATCTAGTAGCCTTTGGGATTTTAGTTGGTGCAGAGACAACAATCATTTGGTTTTGTTAGACTTTTGTAGTATGAAACTCGTTTCGTATATATGAGGACAACAACGCATTAAAAGAGATTAAATAAGTGAACTATTAAGTAAGAGTATGATTAACTCCGATCTCTTAGCCGGAATTTTTAACTCATAATTTGATTTTTTTTTTTGTTTTACATTTTTCGGTTAAGAAATACTCTTATATATTTTATTTAAGAAACAGTTTTTAGTTTTTATTAGTTAAAATATAAGAAAAACTAAAAACTGTTTTTTAGCTGAAACTAAAAACCAAGTTAAAAAAACTGGGATTAATCATGGTCTAAGGCCTAGCGAACAACTATATGTTACTGGTTTCAGGCTGTCATTTTTAATATTGCAGATCGAAATCTCGTGATCATTTATTGTTTTCACTGACCATTTATATCCCACTTGTTTGGGTGTGTAGCTTTCAACAAAGATTTTGACCATGTCTATGGATCGGTTTGGCAAAAAGAAAATATTTATGGATCGTCCTTCCAAGTCCGTATGCTTAGAAAAAGAGACTCTTGTTTCAACCCCTTCTAAAATATACAACAAAAAAACATATCAAAGGTTTCGTATGTTTTAAGCTTAAAACATAAACAAAATTAAATAAAAAAATGTTTTAAGCTTGTGTTTCACTCAATGGTTTAATTGTGGAGAATAAACAAACTTTACAAAGCCTGCTACGATGCTTTATAAATATCGGATATATCGATTTGACAGTGATTAATTTTGATATTTTGGCTAAAAGAATTTTCGAACAAAAAGTGTTAATTGTAGTTTTTCTTTAAAAAAAAATAAAATAAAAGTACATAATATTTGAAATTTTAGATACCGTCCACTTGAAGAGGGTTTCATTATTTGAAAATACATATAAACTCTGCATATACATCCGAAACGAGGAAAAGTAAAGAAAAAAGAAAAAAGAGAACAAAGATCAACATTTACTTAATTCATCCTCTCGGTTATGCATGCATGTATCGTAACTCATATAAATTCACGAGTACCACAAATAATCCCTTCTCTCTTAACTCATTTTCTGTCATCTTCTTCCCTCAAGTGAAGTTTTACAAAATCGGCATAATTGTCAATTAACTAGTCATATACTATTGCTTTTTCTCATATGATTTTAATTCCATCTGAAGTATAATTTCTAACATCCTTTTTCGAGAAATACTAATTACGGGTTTATTTTTTTGAATCTCCATATTACTCTTTCTGTCCTCCAACCTGTCAATTCAATGCATTTACATGCTCTTTACTCGGGGGCTTTGGGTGCAGCCACATGGTCGGCATGCTTTCATTTACTGCATTTGTCTTTTGTATATGTATGTCCTCCTATACTATAAACTACCTGTTATATACATTGAGGACATCTACATATCGAGTCCAAGTTATTTGTGTATTACAAATCGTTCGTTTATGTGCGCCAAGTTCTAATTCTATAGCTTTTGACCCCAAACCGTGATGGTCTAAGAACATCCACAATGAAGAATTTAACCAAATCCTTAATACGTATTCTTAAATAAATAAATTTAAATAATATTATTTAATTTGTTTAAGTTAAGAATCAATCATTAACTAAGACATTTTAAGGATTTGATCCTTAATGACGTGGCAAGGTCCGATTGTTGAAATTTTTAACTTTAAAAAAAAAAATTAAACTGTAAGAGCTAAACTCTAATCTGTAAACCCTATAACTCTAAACCTTAAATATAGATTAGTTAATCCAGAATATAGACTATATTTATGACAAAAATATTTTTTAAGTTTTTCTAAGTCATTTTCTTATAAAAATTTTGATTTCACATGTTTTAAAATTTAATATTTTTTTCTCATAAGAACTTCGTAATGGTTAACACCATTTTAGGTGCTCTAATTAATATCTCTTAACCCTACAGCTTTTGACACGGAGATTAGACCAATTCGAAAGTTACAGTTTATCTTTCCCATTTGTCACTTTATAAATCATAGCCCTAATTAATTTTATACATACAGAGTGGTAGAAAGTAACTTTAGACGTGGAGGAATCTGCATCAAACAAATAAGAGATGAGATGTACCAACATTCATTTACTGCTTATCCATCTGTTACTTCATTGCCCTAATTTTAACGAATCATTCTCCTATATAAACCTCCCAATGTATTATGCACTCTTCACTACGAACTCTCTCTACTTAACAAAAACACACAATAAATTTAAGTTACAAGAGATGGCAATTAGGTATTTAGCAGTGTTTCTCGTTGCTCTCACGGTGGCTCAATCCGTCACAGCCACAAGACCGGCCCCGACCAAGAATGTTGGAGCTGGTCTTGACGACCAAAAGAATTTTGTTGCGTTTGCTGGAGTCGGTGGAGCTGCTGGAGCAGGCCTTGGTGGTGTAGGCGGTGGAGTTGGTGGCGTCGCCGGAGTTTTGCCTGTAGGTGGAGTAGGAGGCGGGCTTGGTGGTCTAGGCGGTGGTGTAGGTGGTCTAGGCGGTGGTTCAGGTCTTGGTGGTGGAATTGGTGGACTCGGCGGTGTAGGTGGCATAGGCGGAGTTGGTGGTTTGGGAGGAATTGGCGGTGGAAGCGATTGCGGTGGCGTTCTTCCTCACCCATGATGAGTAAACGTTTATTTTCCTTGAGAGGTTTATATTCGCTAAGTTTTATCATGTTGTAAGTTGTTTTTTTCCGATGTTATGTTTGAGTCTTTGTTTTTTTCATGCTGTCTGTTATTAATTACTTGTGAGAAACCTTGTGCTATCAATAGAAACCTTGTGCTATCAATAAATAATAGAGTATTTTTTCGTGTGGCAAAACCGTCTTACTTGCTTGTGCTCCAAGATATTCGATCATATATAACTGCAGTTTGCATGAATATCAAAATTAATCTCGTTTGTAAAAGTTGACATATATATACGTCGAAGTGTTAAGTTTTCAACCGTTCAATTCCATTGTGAAAAAACAAAATATGACCGAGATATTTTTGTTCTCAACCATTATGGACGAGATTCAGTTTACAAGCTTATTAGCTTATACGTTGTTATATTTAAACAGTTATTTACTTGTTGCCAACAATGTACAGCTTTTAACCCCAAATAAAAACAAACAGTCGACAGTCAATATTATTAATTTAACCCTTTAAAAATACTGTTAAGCTTTTTCTGAATTCTATCTCACTGGATTTGAAATCTGCTGTATTTTGAAACAATATTGTTTAAAAGATTAAGAGGTTAATTACTATCGCGTTGACACTCAAATATTGTCGGGTATATGAAAAGTGAAAACAGTATAATACATTGCTTGGGCTGTTTTGTGGCAGGGTCTATACGGTGGGAGCTCAAACTATTCGTGGCCCATGAATCATGTGTTTCAGTTATTACAAATCTATAGACATATATATATTTATCGACTTAACTCCGATAAAGAGATAAAAAATTAGTTACAACCACCAATAGGTAGATCCATAAATGTCTAGTTCCAAAAGAGCCTCTTTTGAAGCTGAAGAACTAACTCTAAACAAGGGAAATACATTTACTACCATGTAACTGGAGCTAAATATATTAGATCAAGTGCATTAGTGAACCTCAAGGGAGGTTCACACATTCTCCAAAAAAAAAAAAATATTACAAAAATTATGGGGCCCATTTTTGTGAACCCAAGTTCTCCCAAGTTCTCTCCCGACTCCCGTGAACGTCTTAGGGGTGGAGTTCATCACTGTTTTGCGGGTCCTATACCATGTGACGGCCCGCTATTGGTCAATATTTTTTTTTTTTTTTAAATGAAACGAAAAAATAATAATAAAAAACTAAATTGTGAACAATGTACATGCTCTTAGGATGCAAAATTAACTTAACTTTCATGTTTCCCTCAACGAAAGTGTGCAACATTATTTCAGAAATTAAACCACTTCTTTGTAAACCAGGAGACCCTTCCTTTTCTTCATCGGTCAATCATCAAACTCTATGTATATTAAATATACACCAAAGATTTTTTTATTTTGTTAAATTGCACCAAAGTCTCTATTTTTTGACAAAAATATACATTACAATTAAACCATACTACTTTCTTCATGTAAATTCCGCAATAGAGTTAATACAATTCTCTCAACCGAACAAAAAGTCATTTTTATCAACAATTCACAATACCGCGTCACCAGCATTCACTTTTGATTGTAAATAAACTTAAATTTGATATCAGAGAGTTTGGTTATAGCATTTACAATGGCAATAACTATGTACACCGGTCATTTTTTTCCTATGTGGTCTCTCGGCCTTTAAAAGGTCCCAGCAAATCTCCCAGATTTCAAGGCAACAAACATAATCAACAATTTGTTCAATATTACCGTTCTTAACCATTTGATTAAGATTATGGCGAAGTGGTTTCTCACCCTTTTCTTGGTTCTTGCCCTAGCCACAGCATTTGCTTCTGGTGCAAGAAACATCCCAGGAGGAGGACTCACTGACCAGAAGAACTACCTAGGATACGGTGGCGGGTATTCCGGCATCGGAGACAATGGTTTACCTTTCGCTGGCGTCGGTGGAGGTGTGTCCGGTCCCGGTGGTAATGTTGGTTTTGGTGGACTTGGTGGTGCTGCTGGAGGATTAGGCGGTGGCTTGGGAAACGGAATAGGCGGTGGATTAGGCGGTGGTATTGGTGCCGGAGCTGGTGGAGGAAGTACCGGAGGAGTTCATTTCCCTTGAGTTGATACTTTTGGATTAATATTTCGCACGGTTCTTGAGCAAGGTCTAGTAGTTTAAGATGATTTCAGAGCAACAATAATAATCATGTCTTTGTAAGGTTTGGAATTTTCATTAGCTGTTTAACGTGCGTCTTAAGTTACTGTGGTGTCCCTAAGAATCAGACTCGTGTCTTTGTCGTGTCATGGCTTGGTCCATTTTCAAATTCTATTTTGACTATTGAGTGCTTCACTTAATGAGTTAATGTCAACATCTATGATTACTTTTGATTATAAACTCTATTTATAGACTTTATAGTGTAAGCCCAAGGTACAGATTCTTTGATTATTTGCATACTTGGACTCGTGGGGTCGAGAGACGGCCAAACACGAGAACACAAGAAAAAGCATTTAATATTTTCTCAAAAATGACTATTTATTAAGGGATTTAGATTTTTTTGTTTTAATATTTTTATTCATTTTGTTGTTAACGGAATAGTTTTCAAAGAGAAACTGTGAATGTAAGTTTTTGATCAAAAAAAAAAAAAACTGTGAATGTAAGTTTTTTTATTGGAAAAAAATATTATTCAGACATTTCAGTGTACAACAATGTAACGTAAAAACTTGAACAGTACTCAAAAACAGATAACCAAAAGTTTTCCAAAATACAATTAACCAGAATTAAGTAGGATTTTTTTGAAATATATATTATTAGAAATAAATACTCCACCATGCTGAAGTCCTAACCAGAATAACTTGAATAATTTTTTGACATGAACATTGGAGTTATAATTTAGAAATCCTTAGTACTTTTATATAATTTTAATAAACTTATAGGTTCTAGTGATACTGGATGATAAATCACAATTTTCGTTTAATATTTTAGTTAATCCTATATTTTTATCAACCATAAACTAAAAAAATTATTCCAAGGTAATAACTAAATCATTATGTTGATTCATTGTTTCCTACTAACTGATATGAGATAAACCTTTCAACTTCAATGCTAATTAACCCGTGATCACGTAAATGATTTAGAGCATGACGCATTACTAATGCGTGCAATAACTTCAGAGTTCATGATCTAACTAAACGTCATTTACCGTTTCGCTTTTCTATTATAAAATGAGACTACCAAAAAACAATTCGTCACAAATGTGTACTATCATTATCAGAAACAAAAGTATGAGTAACATCAAACAATTTCTCTTAGCCATTTATATTTCTCTAATCTTAACATGTCAAGATCGTGTCGCAGCCAGCAGCGCCACCATGAGAGACATCATAGGCCCCAGGATTTCTGAATGGCAAGTCATGGTGGTCAACGGTTTAACTACATCAGAAACCCTCTTCATCCACTGTAAATCGAAAGAAGACGATTTAGGTGAACATAATCTGCGTCTTGGAGATAGGTTTTCTTGGAATTTTGGAGAGAATATGCTTCACTCAACTTTGTTTTGGTGCTACTTGAGTAAAGATAAGGGGCATATGAATGTAGAAGTGTTTTGGGATGATGTAATCTTATTCCATAGATGCGGTTGGAAGAAGTGCGTTTGGACTGCGAAAACTGATGGCCTTTATCTCTGGAACTCTGCGAATGGTGAAGACTTGTTGTTGGAGATATGGGAAGCTGGATGGTGATTTTTCTTCTTTATGTTTTATGGAGAAACAAAACTAATTCAATATGCTTTTTTTCCTCTCACAAAATTCTCTTCATTTTGTACTTTTCCATCAATGAAAAATATATGTTGTGTTTGCTAATATATATATATATATATATATATATTACCTACAACTCAGCTAAGTTATAGATTAATTTTATGTGATGATTACACTTTAAAAAAATCTAAGTTATAGATTATTAGATCTTATTTCTATTGCTCAAAAATCCCAATATTTATTAAATTCATGAATCATCATCATTCCTTAAACATGTCCAATCCCAACATGATAATTCATGATATTTATAGTATGTAATGGTTTGGTACAATTTTGGTTTATGTTTGGTATTCAAATATATACAATTTGTAAGACTTCAGTTTTGGTTTGATTTTCAAATAGAGAGGAGTCCTTCAAATACGTCTACTCAACTAAATGTTAAAAACAATGGTCCGATCATCATAAAAATTACAAAAGACAATTATGTTTTGTATTACTGCTTGTTTTGCTGTTAATGATTAAGACCATCCGGAGGATTAAACAGTTCCAGAGACAAGAAACCCAATGGCAACGAAAAGAAAGAGAAAAAATTTGAACCAACAGCATCATTGTCTCGCGTCGGAAGAAAGCAACGCAAGCAAAAATAACCCAAGGCGGCGGCGCAGCTCCCGACAGTGACTTCATCCACCAAATGGAACAGATCAAAGATTATTTGTCAATGGAGGAAGAATTCGTAGCAAATCAAGAAATGTTAAAGCCTCATGAGAAGAAATCAGAGGAAGATAGATCTAAGGTCGATGATCTGAGAGATACACGCGATTGTTTCGTGTTCTGTTGGTCCTGAGTATTATGTTGGGATACTCTCTTTTGTGGATAAAGATCAGCTTGAGCATGGGTGTTCGATTCTGATGCATAATAAGATATTTGGAAATTAGGGTTTGAATTAAAGATTGGATCTTTGTTGTGATTAGGATGTGTGATGAATTGAGTTTTGTGGTTAGGTTCTGTCTATTTTGGGATTCTTTAGTATGAAATTTATTAGATTTTAAAGACTGGATCTTTGTTATGATTACAATATGTGTTGAATAAGGTTTTGTGTTTTGGTTATGTCTATTGTTGGGAATTTTTTATGAAGTGGATTAGGGTTTAAAGACAGGATCTTTGTTGTGATTATGATGTGTCTTGAGTTAAGCGTTATGGTTAGGTTCTGTATGTTGTTGGGATTCTTCAGTATGAAGTGGATTAGGGTTTAAAGATTGGATATTTTTTGTGTTTATGAGATGTGTTGAATTGGGTTTTCTGCTAAGTTATGTCTATTGTTGGGGTTCTTCAGTATAAAGTGAATTAGGGTTTAAAGGTTGGATCTTTGTTGTGATTATGAGATGTGTTGAACTAGGTTCTGTGTTTAGGTGCTATCTTTTGTTGGGAAAGTTTAGTATGAAGTGCATTAGGGTTTAAAGACTGGATACTTGTTGTGGTTATGATATGTGTTAAATTGGGTTTTGTGTTTTAGGTTCTCTCTGTTGTTGGGATTTTTTATGAAGTGGATTAGGGTTTAGAGATTGAATATTTGTTGTGGTTATGATGTGTGTTGAATTGGGTTTTGTGTTTTAGATTTTGTATTTTGTTGGGATACTTCTAGATGAAGTGGATTCGATGGTGTCTATGATGAAAGTTGAGAAGGCTCCATTGGATTCTTATGCTGATATTAGAGGTTTAGAAGCTCAGATTCAAAAGATTAAGGAAGCTGTTGAGTTGTTTTTAACTCATCCTGAGTTGTATGAAGATATTGGTATTAAGCCTCCTAAGGGTGTATTTTGTATGGTGAGCTTGGAACTAGGAAGACACTCCTTGCTAAGGTTTGGCTTTTCGAACTATGGATATAGCAAGTAGTAGTATATGTTAGGAGTATAGTTTAGTTTACTGTTTAAGTTTCAGTTATATTTTTTTTTGAACCAAGAAAAAAGTTTCAGTTATATAAGATAATTTTTTGGGATGCATCTGGAGTTGGTTTTTCACTGATTACAGCCGATATCTTCATGTTATCTAGCTTAATAACCTTCTCTAAGCTAAAAGATTCGAAAAGGCCACTCACCTAAATTTCAGATGTAGCAAGTGTTAGTATAGCTTAGTTTCCTATGTAAGTTTCAGTGATATTGACTGACTTGTTGGAATGCATCTTAAGTCTCTAGCGAAGTAGATTTTCTCTAGTTGCAATGGAGTTCTTCTTGTTATCTAGCAAAAAAAACTTTGTGACTGTGCTCTAAGAAGAGAGATTTGAAAAGGCCAAACCTATGTTGTTCTGGTCACCTAAATTTTAGGAATTAGATCATAGGTAGAAAATCTACCTCAAAGATAAAGTTCTTTTGCATCCCTTGTGTTTAGTAAGTGTCACAAACATGTAGTTGCTGCAATTTGGTGGCTTATTTTTTATTTCGTGCATGTTCTTACTTTACTTTTGAAAAATGTGAGAGTGAGCTCTTCTATCTTGGTTTCTTTTCAGGCTGTGGCGAATTCTACATCAGATACTTTCTTGAGAGTTATAGGTAGTGACTGATTCAGAAGTATTTAAGAGATGGTCTCAAGCTTGTGAGGGAGCTTTTCAGAGTTGCCGATGACCTTTGACCATCAATCGTCTTTCATAGATGAGATTGATGTTGTTGGAACCAAGCAGTAAGTCAAACTAACTCATAAACATAATTCTTATAGTTTATTGTTCTTCACAGATAGTAAAGTAGTAACTGATTAGAGATGAAGTAATACAGGTATGATGCTAACTCAGGAGGTGAGCGTGTGATCCAAAGAACTATGCTGGAACTTCTGAACCAGCTTGATGGGTTTAATTCAAGAGGAGGCGTAAAGGTCATCCTTGCAACCAATATAATAGAGAGTCTTAACCCTGCACCTCTTCGACCAGGACGTATTGAAAGGAAAATATAGTTCCCACTTCTCGATATCAAAACGAGAAGACGTATTTTCCAGGTAATTAATTTACTCTGAGAAAAAAAAATCAAATCACTAAAAAGTTTCTTGTTCATTGAGAGATTGTGTCTTTGTTTTGAAATAGATACACACATCAAAGATGACTTTTTTGGATGATGTGAACTTGGAAGAGTTTGTAATGACAAAAGATGAGTTCTCAGAAGCTGATATAAAGGCTATGTGCACTAAGGCTGGTCTGCTTGCTCTCAGGGAGCGCCATGAAGGTAAAGAACTCTGAACCATTTGGTTTACGCACACACTTGGGGTAGTTACAATCTACCGACTCTGATGTTTGATTGGGTTTTTTTAGGTGACACATCCGGATTTCAAGAAAGCAAAGGAGAAGGTTATGTTCAAGAAGGCGTCCCTGAAGGTCTTTACATGTAAAAGCATCATCCTCCTCTGCATTTTACTTTATACTTTTGGCTTCTGGA